ATACTGTCTTTATGTATAAATGTATGTGAATTATCACCTACATGAAGCTTGATGTGATTGTCACCTCTGTCTTTAATACTTCAAAGCCACCTGCCAATGCTGGTGATGGTTAGCAATGCACAATGACATGAGGGTTAGCTTCTATGATAAAATTACACAAATATATGGCATTAACCACCTTTTGTTGCCAACACACTTGGATCTTCTATGGCACAACAGGCTGATTAACATTCTAAATTAGCCCCTCTTGCAGACCCAAGCCTGGTTAAGAGTATAGGGTCACAGTTCCATTTGAACTTAGTTCAGCAACTTAAGCTGTAGAGATCAATGATGTATTCCACAAGACACATTCATTAGGACGATTCCTAAGAATTAGCGGCAATGTATAGTGTACAAGAATGTTCATCTAACAAGTCCCTAAGAGTGAACAGGTGAGCAGGGTTCGGTACTGAAGCACGTAAAGCGTTACATAACAGACGGTAACAGATTGAGCAGCTCTCAGCTCATAGACAGACATTCAGAAGCAGGTATGATATCCATCCAGCTATATTAACAATCGATATATCTGCGCTAAAACAAACATTCAACAACAGAGCAGCAGCACATCATTTCCCCCTATGCATTGTGTGTGCAGCGAGCTTTTAGATTCAACCTGATGCTTTTGACAGGTCAGAGTTTGAAACCCACAAAAGCAAGAGCACAACCCGATTACTAAAAATGTACCTTACCTTTCTAGGGGTTCTGTCTCTTCTTCCTGCACATGGAGATGGCATATATAAGGCGTGAGAGATGGCTAAAGAATGTAGAGGAAGAAAAGGGGAATGGGGCATAGCTCCAGTTTTTTTTTTTTTCTCTTTGATGAGACTGTAAAGATTGTAGAAGATCTAGCGACGCCCCTTGAGCTGTCAGCTCCACCTTACTCGCACATCACATGCTAATCTGCAAAGCTTCACATCTTGCAATGCTGGCTACAAACCCATCACCTTCACATTATCCATCTGGGGGTGCGTTGCTTAGTAATCCCGAGAGAAATGCAATTAGGTATAAAACCACAGGGGGAAAAAAAAAGAAAGAAAGGAATACTGCTTGAGCTGACAACAGCTTTGAAGTGTGTGGAAGTTTGGATTGCCAAGCTGGATATAGGTCCCTGTAGTATGTTTGCAGGTCACTGCCACCTGGTGGATAAATGCATTCATTGTTTTCACAGACGATCAGAGCACAACGCTTTCGGAGTCAAAGGCTGATCTGATCGCTGATGATGTAACAAGTGATAATGTGACAGCGCTTTTTACTTTGTACAGCTCCATTCTGCGATACAGTTACAGTATCTGCTATACAATGAGATGACTGCAAATCTATGGAGATCGGAGTTCAGCTGTCAAATGCAGAATGTCATGGATAGCAGGACTCCTGCCAGCCCATTCTGATCAGTATAGGTGACTGGGCGGCAGTGATAAGATCGCTGGCCAGCCGGGTTATCTATCTTCAGCACCTTGGACAGCGTCCCGGTTCCAGTCTATAGATTTCATGATGAGCTGCTGATAACATGCCTCTCTTATCACTGTTGGACAATCATCTGTCACATTAATGTTTTCCTTTTTATTTTTATTTCTGGCTGCATGAAATTTCAGTCCCTAGTCTGATCATTACCGTTCAATCGCCCTGGTGAGCATTTCCATGAAGGCAACAATTAAACCGCAGATGTCTTTACCATGAAGGGCAGTTGAAAGAGGAGAAAACAATCCAATTTCACCCCTAAATCTCAAGAATCTATTTTGCAAAATCTAATGAAAGTATTGATCTGCAAGATCATTGTTCCATAAGATGTGTTTATGTTTTCTATTTATACCATGTTCTTTTCAATTCATTAGTTATGTACGTCATCTATACATAATGTCCAAGGATTATTTGTTTTTTATTATTGAAGACAATATTTGGATATACATTCCAGGAATCTCAAAGTATGAATGCCGATGTTCCAGATTCCTCTCTCTCTAGTCTCATAGCAGCATCCATCCATCAAATGATTATAAGCTGTCAGGATAATTTGAGAGAAGAATAAGGATGAGCTACACGGTGTTCATAGAGGGCTGATCGTTGTAAAAACAAGTAGCAGGGGCAGATCTGAGAGCTCGATTATACACCCAAACCACACAATAGCAATGCCATACCTGCCAGTTGCCTTTTTGCTGCCAGACGGTTGTATGTCATATGTCATAACTTCATCTCATGTAGCCTTTGCGGTGATCTGACATGCTATATGATCATTGCGGTAGACAGGTAATATTTTCAGGCTGATGATCACTTGCCTTAGTTTGTAACATGGTAATGAATTACATTGAGGCCAGCTTATTTGTATGAAAGTTTACAGATACAATGTAGCCCAGAGTGAAAACAATAAATGCATTGAGCCACCAGGTGGCAGTGACCCTCAAAACATACTACAGGGACCTATACACCGCTTGGCAATTCAAACTTCCACACACTACAAAGCTGCTGCCAGCTGAAGCTGTATGTCCCTGTGCTTTTAGATCTAACAGCCTTTTCCCCGGATTGCTAAGTAGCACACCTCAAGCAGGTAATATACAAGTGATGGGTTTGATGTTTGCTATGCATTCTGTATCAGGTAGCAGAGCAGACTGTCTGATGTTGTTAACGTGATGTGGAGTTTAGCTTTAAGGGGTGTAGCTTCATCTTCCACAATCTTTACAGTGTCAGTGACAAAAATAACTGGAGCTATGCCCCATCCTCTCTCTTTCTCTCTCTTCATCCACATGTATTGTCCATCTCTCAACATTATTTGCACAAGGAGCTATAACTGAAATCTGAGCTAGGTACAGTAACATTTCCTTTATTTGTTTCTCCTTTTCTGATTTTTAGATGACTGCTTTTAACTCTGTTTCATTCACTCTCACTGTGTGAAATGTGTTTACACTCTGCATACTTTTTTTATAGAAAGATAAATTACATTTCTCTATGATAGTTATGTCTAAAGGGTGTACTTTGGTAAAGATACCCTGTGACAGACGCGCACTGACTCACATTCATATACCTTCGGGATGCATAGTGAGATTGGATGTTGTGAAATTGGATGTTGTGTTTACATAAGTAATTACTTTTTATATTTGCATAACAGCATCCAAGAGATTTTGTACTCAGCACTTTTGTCTGTGTGCAGGATTAGTGCACATTAAATGAAAATATTGGCTTTTGGTGAACAGTGTTTGGCTGTCAGGCACCTGTAGATTGATTAACTTTAACGCAAGCCTGTGCTCCCTTCAAACAGCCAATCAAGTTCAGGGGAACTTAAAAATTCAACCTGAATGGGTTTCTAAAGGGAACCTAGGCTGCGGATTAACTTTCTCCTTTAAACCTGACATGAGTATCAGAGGTCAGTCTTTGCAGTCATTATATGATCTCTGAAAGATCTTTCATTTGAAAGATATTTCTGTACAGAAGCAAGCACCAGGCATGTTTATTTCAGACACCACTGGATCGGTCTTGGGGAAAACAAAAACTATGAGCCAAAAACTTCCATGGCTTATTGCAATTTTTCTACAGATTGGTAAACCAGGTATATCCGATGCAATTTACAGAACTTTAAAATGAAGACATATATATGTTACAATTATACTTGGCGATCTAGCACTGCTGGATAATTATATGTCAATTATTCAACTATAATGTTATTTAACAAAAGCATCATAATTATGTTAACTAGAAAAAAGAGCTGCCATTTAGATGCTAAAGTTATGCTTACTATGTATATTGGTTTTGTTCTCCAGACGTTTAGTTAATACAACCTCATCTGGGTAAATTTAAGACCATCTCTATGCTATCCTCCACTTGAAGTATAATCACCCCACATTGTCCTGGATGGTTATAGCAATAGTTTTTTCAATTACCATAAGGTTCTACAAACGACTTTGTCTAAATTGAACCTGCAGTGTGTTGCATTCCACAGCAGTAAAATGATACAGCCAAAGCAGTGTTTGAGTTGTCAACTACTTATTCATTCATGTAGAGTGTACAAAACTCATCTCAAAGAGCCATTGGAGGAATGACGTGGTTCCAGGGAACAAAATAAGCATCTTTGCAAACACCTTGCTTCACAGCCATCAGGCATATTTAATAAGGCAAGCAAGGAGCAGGAAGAATTTCTAATGTGAAGGAACCCATATCATACACTGTATCCCATTAAAGGAGAGACTTCACAAATGTTTTTGCATCACAGTAATACATTAATAGACCACTGCATTTTAAAGAAAACATATCAGCTTGTCAGTATGTCTGAAAAAGTATAACCAGCTTAGAAAAGTCACTAAGAATTTAGGATTTACAAGACCGGGGCTGCAGAGCAATACATTAGTAACATCATTATTTAAAAAAAAAAAAAAAGCAACAGCTGTTTTGACAGTGTATGTCTTTTTTATTATATCGTTATACATTTATGAAAAGAACCATAATCTATTATGTTTTAGAAATAGACATGTGCTCTTTAAGGATATGAAATCATTTGCAGTTAAAGACCTCTAAAATTAAGCTTTACTCCATTTTTTATTTTGCCGTTGTAATTCTTATGGACATATTTTTCTATGAAGGTTGTAATAAACTTCTTTCAGTTCTTATTTAGTAAAGGTAGGAAGTGCTTTTTGATTTATTTGTTAAAACAAAGCACAATGTTCCTGTATAGTGCAATAATCACTAAGAACCAATCAGAACGCTTCTAGCAGTGGGTTTCTGAACATCAGCATGGCTCCACTGTTTTATCAACTACTTCATTGCTACATATCTCTTCTTATAGCCCTACTATCTGTCCTCCTCACAGTACAATAATATGCTGTTTTGAGGCATAACTCAGTTTACATTCTTCGCATACAAAACTCTATAATTTTCCATTAAACCACAATAGTCACTTATCAGGTGTTAGGGTCACTTGTCAAGTCAGGTGTCAGAGTGGTGGGTGGTGGTCTGGTGTGTTGGGTGATGCCCACAAAGCCTCAATATCAAGTGACAGGAGGTGGCCTGGCATATTGTGTGATGCCCCAAAGATTTTATATCAAGTGGTGGTTGGCAGTCTGGCATATTGGGCAACATCTACAAAGTTTCAATATCAATATTGTATGCCAATCTTCACCAAAACAGATGGGAGCGCACATGAATTAGGGACATTTTTGGCTAACTAAATGGCATTGAGTGGGAACTTGAGTGACGTTAAAAAAAACACCTTATTTTTACTTTTAATTGCAATGTTAGTGCTTTTTACTAAGACCTAATTAACTGTAGATGTCTATTTACCTATAATGAGACATTTTAAGAGGACATTTAAATAGGCCAAACAGAGGGCCGAGACAGAAAAGAGGGTAGGCGGCGTAACAAAAGTATCTAGTGACTCGGACAGCTGGCTCTGACAACTAAAAAGTGACTGGTTTGATAGATTGTTGATGGGGACAGCCATGGCTTGCTGAATAGCTGACTGAAGTTTGAAGGAAGGTAAATACAGTTTTATATGTGGAGCATGAAGTAAATGAGGTATGTCCTAAAATGTACACCATACAATAACTAGTGGGTGTGGCTTGCAAGCAAAATATTTCGGTGGCTAATGGATAGTGTTTGGCTTTGGTTAAGAACTGTGGAAATATTCCCCAAGATATTTCATCCTTATACTGTATATTAAGCATGTAATAATAAGGAAACAGGCTTTGTGGTAATAACATTCTTTGATGATTTAATTGATGATCTTTGCATGGATGGTGAAATTAAGCCACACATATCTTTGCAGTGTACCAGTCTGTACTTGCTGTGTGTATTTGAAGAAGAGATACTGTGTATAACCATTGCAAATGCTCACTGGGGACAAGTTGGCTGACCAGTTGGAAAATACTTCATTCTGCATGGTTTACATAAGAAGTGACTTCTTAAGTCTGCTGAGAAAAGGTGTTGTGCAAGACTTTAGTTTAGATTTTTGCATGAGCACTAGGGAGGGCTTGTAACCAATTTTGGAAAGGCACATGAAAGACAAATTTTTACATTGTAGAAGTACTGTATGCACACACATTTTACTGTATATACACACTTTGTTTATTTACACTTTGAAATGCACTTTGATGAAAAAAAGAAGAGCCCTGCAGGGTACTTGGGGTAGTTTTTGTGATTGTATTGGAGTTGGCATTCCAACAGTTGGTTTAGAATATGTATATGGTGTAGGGAACTAGTCTCAATGTAGAGACAAACTCGCAGTCTCTTCAACAAAAATGCCAGCTAATTCCAGACAGCAATCAATTGACAAAAAGGTTACAGGCATCCAGCCCAAAAATTTAATTGTCATAAACAAATAAAAGTCAGCTCCACTGAGCCTTAAGGTGGCTATACACTTTACAACCCTTGCAAGACTTTTGTCTTGCGAGGGTTGTAAAGTACTTTAAAAAATGTACGATCTGCCCATCTTGGACAGGCAGATCGTACTTGCAAGCATCGCAAGCCCGCCCCCCTGAGGGGCGGGCTTCCGATGACTGCAAATGGGCAGTGTGCGCACACCAGCCTGTTCGGCAGTTGTCGAACATGCAGGCCACTAACTCGCCTAGAATCGTACGATTCTCGGCGGGTTTTCTAGCATGCTGGTTCGACGGAAGACGTGCGACCGTACAGTAGAAACGGTTGCATGCCTTCCATACACTGCACGATTCCTGTACGAGAATCGTGCTGTGTATGGGCACCTTTACTGGGTATTAGCGATAGTCCTCTGAGCTGGGTCCGTTATCCTCTATGGGAACAGTTACAGTCCATCCACAGAACCCTGTCCTGCTGACAGGCTTGGCTCCAAACACAGAGCTTGCTGCATTCAGCACACTGTGGGGTTGATTTACTAACCTTATAAACACGCCACGAACAAGTATACACCTCTGTAGTGTGTTCCCTCCCAGCATGATCTATTGGTGGAATCTAGACACCTTTGTAGTGTGTACACACCCAGCAGGTGTGTTGTGCAAAGCCAAGCATGAATTGCAAGGTGATGTTGTGTAAATTAGCTCTACATTGTGTTGCTTGCGTTGATGAATGCAGGAATGTAAATGCATGAGCTAACCATTTTTGTCTAAACTGTGAAGCAGCATTATATATGCATCATGTGCATGATTTTTCCATATATGGCATTAGTGGAAATATGCTTTTAGAGACTTTTTGGTTGATAAATACGTTTTGCTGTGTAAAAATCACACGCACCTAGTGCGTGCGTCTGTTTAGGTTAGTAAATCACCCCCTGTCTCTCCCTGCACTGAGACACACACTTCCCCAGCTAGGTGCAGCTGCACACTAATGAAGTCCTGTGCAGTCTTCACTAAACTACGGTCCATGGAACTAGGAGTCTGCCCCACCCAGAGCTCTATCACACTCCTAGTAACACCAGCCCCAGGATTTGTTTTACCAATACAAGGTAAAGAGCTATTTTTCTTTACCTCCATCTATGTTGGCATTACCTTAGATGATGAATCTAAGGATCCGTGGAGAAATGTATCTACCATCTATCACTTTTCCTGCCAACCTGGCAGGTTTTCCTGGCACCATTTTACAATGGGTATGAAGAGATATATGTGATTGAATAAACAATATTCCTTTGTATACCTTTTTTGTTTGTGTTTATATTTGAAATATCCTAACTATTTAATTACAGAGATGTTACAAAAGTGAAAACCTAGAGATATATATTGTTTATATGTTATGAATCGACACATCCTGAGAGGTTCAGAGGGCAAAGAGGCATAAATATGTGAATAGTTAATGGGCATTCCTGATACCTAGGTCTAGGGCTGCAACAACTAATCGACATAATCGATTA